GGGAAAATAAGACTCGGCATGGGTAGCTGCTTTTCTAAAGATCACACAGTTGAGTATTATGTAACTGTAGGAATTTATATAATGCTTTGAGACACTGGGCTAATATATTGAGACTTATGGGATTACAGCTGTAAAGCTTGTTGTCTGAGTCGACAGGGGCATTCAGAGATGGGTGGAGACTCTGAGTCTCAGCTTCCACTCTCTTCAAGATAAACTCAGCGCCAGGAGCTTCCCCGTGGCTTCCATAGCTGTGACTTTTAATGTGTTTGGTCCCAGGCATGCTGACACCAGCCCCACAGAAATCCTATGCCCTTGGGATGCATGAGGAGCAGACAGATCTCCAACAACAGGGGCGCTTGCTGCCTCTCCATCTTCCTCATCTTCTCCCTTCCCCTGGTCTTAGGGAATCCCTTTTCTTACCAGGAGCATTATTCCCTTGCTTCAACTCCAAGCATCCTCTTTCTACTTCTTTTCCTTTGGGGGTAAGAACAATCTCTCCCACAAACCCTGATGCCCCTCTCCACCACCAGCTGCAGGTCATTGATGGGATAAAACAGCAAACAAATGGATACATGAATGAATGAGAGGATGCATAACTAGAAATAAAATATTTAGAATGCAGACAAGTAAAATTCCTGGAAAAACAAGATTGAGAACAACAGCTTAGAGCTGAGCTGAGCATGGCATATACTGCTCTGTTGGATGGAGGGCACATGTGTATAGGGATGGAAACCTGCTAGAAGTTTCTTGCACCAGCCTGGAGAGGAGGTCCAGGGGCAGGATAAATAAAAAGGAAGGAACAAATGCAAGTGGCTGTGAAGAAGCAAGATTTGGAAACAGACTCATATGGAGACTGATGAGAAGAAGGAGTCAGAGATGGTGTGGTTAGTAGAAGTCAGAAATTTAGGAGATAAAGTTTGCAGGAATTGGCAGGAACGTGAATTTCAGCACAAAGTGGTTGTGGGATATCCAGGGGGAAATGTTTGCCAGCAAATGAAAATTGACTATTAGCATGTGGGCAGGAAGTCAGGACAGGTGGAATAAAGTTAGTTAGCATTTACACAGTCCTTACCTGATATCATTAATGTCCTTGAATAGAGGCCCTTTGCGGTGGCCTTGTTAAGGAACCACCCCAGGTCAGTGGCTTTCATCTCTCTATGCTTTTGCTTTCATTGTTCCACTTCTAGGATGCCAACCTCCAGTTCCCACACATGATTAGGTTTTACTCGCTCTTTCCAACTTCCCTTTGATCACAAACCTTCCATGATGCCCCCTGGTTGGAATGAATCCCACAATACTCATGTTGAGATTTAGAATTTATGACTCTAGAAAGCAGGGTAATAATGTATATGACAATTCAATAGGCTGTGGCTTGCATGAAACAGTTTCTCCATTTGTTGAGTGAAAGAATGAGATCGGCACCATTCAACAGCTTCTCTTATTAAAAAAAGAAGTGTTTTCCAAAGCTAAGGGATGACTCAGGGTCATGGGGCTGTGGTGAGTGCTTGCATCAGCATCTCTGTATTTTGCTTGGAAGCTTTAGGGGTGGTCTTTATATAACAGATACTCTCAGAGTTGGGAGGGAACGCCTGGTCTGACTTCCAACACAAATAAATAAGCATTATGCCTGCCTGGTGGCTATTCAGCCCCTGCCCGAGCATGTCCAGTGACAGGGAGCTGTGTCCTGCCAGCCTCGATGGCTTTTTAAGGGCTGGGTGGGTGGTTGGGGGAGAATAAAGAGTGAAGAACACAACTTTGCTTTTCCCATTGATTACTCATTCTGGGGCTTGCTGACGGTATCACATGAGATAGGTTAAATCACGCTATGGTAAAAAAAACAACAACACTTACCTTTTGGCAGCTTAAAGCAACACAAGTTTCTTTATTGCTCACACTCTAGCCCATCATGAGTTGCCTGGAGGCCTCTTTCCTTACTTGTGGCTTCAGGATGATGAGTACCCACCATCTTAAATGCTTTTTGCTTTATCAGAGGAAAAGGAAAAGAGACTCTGGAGCATTTTGTATCAGCCGTTAAGTGGTCTGGCCCTTCTGTCCGCATCAATTCTGCCTACAGCCCATCGGCACCCCCAACCCTCGAGAACTGGAAAATGCGACCTTACCACCTTCCAGAAGCTTGAGTGTTGGGTGTGAGCGGAGGCAGCCATAATGGCTATGGCGCAGGCCTCATGCAAATGGCCTGGCTTATTTCCATTTGGTCTAGAAGGAAGAGGTTTCCTACCTCTTTCACATAATTGTGACAAGGAGCAGCTGGGGAAGTAGGTAAGGACCGGTGTGTGTATCAAAAGGTCACTGTCACTCCTAAAAGTCTCTGGATTAGTTGGAGGAGCCTCTTCTACTTGTAAGTAGTAGTGTTTTAGGTAGTAAGAGGTCAGTGGTCAGTGTTCTAGGTAGTAAGAGGTCATCTGGAGAAGAAGCCACCTGAAATGGCAGAGTAAATTATTCAGTTTTTTTTCCAACCGTCCAAAAGACTGGAGACCTCTGTGACTAGCTGGCCTCCATTAAGCAGTTTTCTTCTGCATGGAGACAGTGATGAATCCTCCCTGCTTGGAAGGTTGCAGCCTCCACAATCAATCAAGCCCCAAAGAGAGAAGAAGTGGTGGTGATTAAGAGTGGGACCTGAAATCCAAACTGTAATCAGTCAGAGATTTGTCATTGGAGTTAGAGATGGAGATGGAGAAATAATGGATGATTCAGGCCCATGGTGGCTGTCTCTAAACGTGCTAATTACCTCAGCTTAAGTGGCTGAAACCAATGATTAGAAACTGTGGAGATGTGCACAGCAGAACTCACAGCCACTGCCTCCCGGGGCTGGTGCACCCGGCTCTGAGAAAGTGGGCTTTCTCTTTGAATGGGAGGGGGTAGGGTGATGCCTTGGCTGGGGGTAGATAGGGTTGGTTAGCACAGCTCTGAGATCCTATGAGGAGATATACTGGGGACATGGCATGCCCCCTTCTGCCAGGTGGTTGAGATTCACAGGGGCTGGCTGTATGCAGTTCACCCACCAAAGGTCACCACCTCCAGAATGATGGCTCCTTTGTTCTGATTCTTCAGGTGACTGCCTGAGAAGTCTAAGGTGAGGGTTAATGCAATTCATCTGCACTGGACTTTGAGACTAAAGAAGGTGCCCCGTAGTTACCAAATGTCTTACACGTGTGCTGTGCATGTCTTTATTTTTAATGTGTGCGTATGTGTTTCTCTCTCTGCGTCTGCCATCTGGGGTAGTTAGCTCATCTAACTAAATTGAGAGACCAAAGTCATGGTCCACACCCAGATGGGATGGTTTGAGGGAGTTTGTTCTCCACCCAAAGACATCTTCGTTTGTAACCACAGGCTGCATATTTAATGCCAGCCAGCCATGTTGTAAACATGTGCACTTGGTCAGTTCAATGCACTTTACCAAGTATTTGTTAAGTGTCTCCTAACTGCCGTGCATTGTACAAAGGCACTTTGTAAATGGAAATGAGAAAAGAATAGACGTTGGCTAAGATGGCTTGCAGAGTGCTGGACAGAGGAGTCTGTCTGTATTGGGAGGTGGGAAGAGGATGATGACTCCACAATGGATAGATTAGGAAAGTACCCCTGGGAGGGGGTCAGAAAACATGCCGTGGGGCCCAGAGGTACAGGGGAGGGTGGGCAGAACTCCCAATAGAAAGTGGCATTTGAGGCCAGACACAGTAGCTCATGCCTGTAATCCCAGCACTTTGGGAGACTGAGGTGGGCAGATCACCTGAGGTCAGGAGTTCAAGACCAATCTAGCCAACATGGTGAAACCCCATTTCTACTGAAAAATACAAAAATTAGCTGGGCATGGTGGCAGACACCTGTAATCCTAGCTACTCGGTAGGCTGAGGCAGGAGAATTGCTTGAACCCAGGAGGCGGAGGTTAGAGTGAGCCGAGATCATGCCACTGTACTCCAGCCTAGGTGACAGAGTGAGACTATGTCTCAAAAAAAAAAAAGTAAGTGGCATTTGAGATGGGCCTTGCAGGATATTTCAAAAGATTTTGATAGGAAGACCAAAGCATTCAGGATAGCCTAAGCAATACAAAGTATATTTATATATTATATAAATAAATATATTTGGTAATATATATCTATATCTCCCTACATAACTGGGTAAAATGGTGCATTTATATATGTAGCCTTCCCTACTGCTGGTCTAGGTGCCAAATTTCTTACAGTTACCCTTTAGCTTACAACTTTGATTTCTGATAAAATGTAAGCACCCTTGGGAGCAGCTTTTCAATGCTTTTAAGCTCCTTTTACCCATTTATACCTGTGTGGCTGGGTTGGAGGTGGAAGAGCTTAGTCTTCCTGCTGGTTGCTTCCCACCATCAGGCCTTTCTTGGTCAGGATCAGTTTCTTCCCTCTTCCCGCAGAGGCTACACTGTCTCTCTTCATCATTGCTAATTGTTCTTTTTCTTGCATTCCTCTTGCTCCATCCACCATCAGGCAAAATGCCACTGCCTCCTGAGGCTGGCCATTTTTTCCCGACCCTCCTATATTTGTGATAAATGTACATATTCACTTTAGGTTTGTGAGTTACTATAGGAGGACACCCAGGGGCCAGAAAAATAAGAGCAGGGCAGTTATGGACTCATTAGAAGCCCTTGCAGTATTTCTTCTAGTGGTCCTGCCTTGGGTCAGATGACACATGGACTGGACCAGCTCTTCCAGTCTTCCCAGTGGCCATCCATGGGTGACCCCTAGGAGCAAGCATAATAGTATTCTATTAATAGCAAGTAGTACACTGAGGGCTTGTGTCATTTGGGTTTGGGTATAATAAAAAGAGGAGTGCCATAAAAAGAAGAACTTACCAGAAATGGATCTGTGTTGGGACAGTGGTTCTATGTTGCTCAAGGGAGGGCCTTTGTATCAACTGCCTGTGAGAGGCAGTGTCCAGGCAGAAGTCAGCTGCCATAGAAGCAGGAGTGGTGTTTCCTCCTCTAACTCCGGGCTGTGTCTCTGCTCCCTCTTCAGCTGGTGCTGCCAGAATACTCCATCCATAGCCTCTTCTGCATCATGTTCCTGTGTGCGCAAGAGTGGCTCACGCTGGGGCTGAATGTCCCTCTACTTTTCTATCACTTCTGGAGGTAAGTCGGACTGGGACTGGTCTATCCTTTGTCTTTTCTGCCAGGGCAACCTGCTCTCCAGTGATGATGTCCCCCAGATAGACAGCTTCTGGTGCCTTCCAATCATCCCTTCCTTTCTGGGTCTGTGTCTTTAAAGCCCATTCCCAAAGTGCTCTCAGGCAGCAGGTCCAATAAGAGAAGGCCCTTTTTGTTGGTTTCATTAACCACAATCCCATCCCTTGCAGGTCAGTGTTAAAAGCATCTATAGTAGCATTCACAACAGCCAAAGAGTGGAACCAACCCGAATGCCCATCAGCTGATAAATGGAGAAACAAAATATGGTATATCCATACAATGGAATATTATTTGTCAATAAAAAGAAATGAAGTACTGATATATGCTACAACATGGAGTCCTAAAGAGGATCAATGAAAAAAGCCGGACACAAAAGGCCACATATTTCATGATTCTATTTATATGAAATGTCCAGGATAGGCAAATCTATAGAGACAAAGTAAATTCATGGCTGCCAGGGACTGGGAGGGAATGAGATAGGGAATGACTGCTAGTGGGTCAAAGGTTTTCTTTTTAGGGTGATGAAAATGTTCTGAAATTAGATAGTCATGATGGTTGCACAACTCTATGAATATACTAAAAACCACTGAATTGTACAATTGTACACTTTAAAAGGGTGACTTTTATGGTATGTAAATTATATCTTAATAAAAAAAAAAAGCACCTACCAGATGGGCTGGATTTTCTGGGACAGTTATAATTTCATATATTCTATTCCCTTCTAAGACCATGCGTCAGATCATGTGATTTTTGGCTTTTTGTAAAATAGAGTCACCATATGGACACAGGAGGCAGAGGTGGAGGAATATCAAAATAGTAGAGAAGGTATTTGTGCAGATAAGTTGCCTGCCCTTGACCCTTGGCTGCCAGAGCATTGGACCCCAAATTGTTTTATCATTGTTATTCTACCATAAAATCTGGCTTGAATTTAGCCACACCTAAGACATGCACTCCTTCATTTAGAAAACGTACAGAATACATTCTACACGTCAGGCATTGTGAGGGACTTCACGTTAAGTGTAAAGCAAAACCTTTACCCTTAAGGAACGTACATCCTAGTGGTAGAGGGAAATATGTTCTTAACAGACATATGAGGAATACAGGTAGGAGCATAGAGAAAGAAGCACTTAAATAGACTCAAGAGTGACTTTGGAAAAGCACATTCCAGAGAGAGGGACCAGCATGTGTAAAGGCCCAGAGTTAAGAGAGCACTTGGTGTGTTTGGGAAATAGTAGTTGTTCAGTGAGGTTGGATGTAGGGTTCTTCAAGGGAAATAAGAAGAGACAGGTTGGCAGACAGCTGAGAGTATGGTATGGAGGACCTGAAATGATTTTATGGGGAAGGTGCAATTAATTTATTCTTTAGGTAATGGAAAATGATCAGAAACTTTAGAAGAAGACAATGGCATTACCTAATCTGATTTTTAGGAAGGTGGCCTGGGAAGTAGTGTAAAGGATGGGTTAGAGGGTGAAATATTGAGATTGAAATCCAACTGGGGGGTTATGGTGGGAACTCCAGGTGGAGAGATGAGAGAGCCTTGACCCAGGTAGTGGGAGTCAGAATGATGAGAGAACAGAAGAACCCATGGAAGTGAACTGGACAGGCCTTGGCCCATAATTGGGTGCAGGTGAGGGAGAGGACGCCTCTAGGCTGGGTGGCCGGGAGGTTGATGGTGCCATTGACCAGGGCCAGCAGGGTAGAAGAAATCTCAGGTTTAGGGAGGAAGGAAAAATACTCAGTTACATCGAGAAGCCTCACTTTAAGTAAAGGCAATCTGCTATCATCTGAATTAGAGAGAAGTCAAATAGGAGATCCAGGATTCACAATAACCAAGTGAGCTGGGTTTCATTTTCTGTGTTTGACACATGGGGACACAGAGACTCACAAAGGTTAAGTCAGCTGTCCAGCGTTGCTCAGCTCGGACGTGGCAGGACTGAGGTTACGTCCCACCTCTGTACGAATCCCAGTCCGAGTCCCTGCTGCCTGACACACTGCCCCAGGGGCTGGCTCTTCTCCCCAGGAAAGGAGTTCGTCCCAAGGTCCTTCAAGTAGGGGGCTGTCAAGGCAGCGTATCAGAAATGTGATTGACAAAACATCCATCAGGGCACTGCTTGTGGGGCTAGCACTTGTCCAAAAGGGAGGAAAAGGAGAGGCAGCCAGTGTCCATAGACTTGGAAAGTTCATCTCTATGGAGGAAAGGAGGGGCTATAATCTCCTTGCCAGTAGGCACTTTGTCTTACCTTTTTTTTTGAATCCCTGACAGGATCTAGTCTAGTTCCTGGCAATTAGTAAGTTCTCAGAACATGAAAGAAAAAAAGAATGAGGAGGAGAGGAGTCCTTTAAACATCAAAGGCCTTATACACCCTTTATCCCCCTTTCCATTCCCCCGCCTTTCCAACAGGTCCAGATCAGTGACATTTCTCATACAGAGAAAGTCCCCTCCTGCTCTGGATCTTAGTTTGCGTAAAGGAAATAGGACTGTCTGCTGTTGACTCAGTACCTGTTCTTCCCAGGTTATTTGCATACATTGCCTCATGTAATAGTCCACAACAGCCCTGTACGGAGGGCAATTCCGTCCCCATTTCACAGATGAGAAAGTTGAGGCTCAGCTGGGTTAATGAGTGATCCAAGGAAAGTCAGTGTGGTGACCAGTGACTGGCAGGGCCTTTGCTCTTTCCACGGAGCCATATGGCCACCCTGCCCTTCTGCCTCCACTTAATGAGGTCACCTGGGAATAAAACTACAGTGACAGCAAATAGCTTTTGAGATCGCTCCCAGGAAGAGGAGAGGTGAGTGGCCTGGAGGGCTGTGAGCTGGCAGTTGTCATCGAATCTGGCTTGTGATTTCTTTTCAGCACAGTGTCAGTGACAGATAATGTCAGTGCAGTTCTCTGAAGGGGAAGGAGGAGGGAGCAGAGATGCTGGATCTGTGAGTTGCTACATTGCAGGATGTTCTTCAAAGCCAGTGTGATTAATCTCCCGGTTGGAGCCCTCTCCCTAGGCCCATGCTCACCATTGAGAACCACTGTCTGTCCCAGAGCCCAGGGAAGTCATTTATTTGCACTCCTGGCCTGTGGGTGGCTTTACCAGAATGACTGAAAAAGGAACTCGCTGAGAGATTCCAGCTGTACTTTGTTCTTGGGCTGGGCAGGAGGCTGTAGCCAGGTCCCTGGGGGCAGTGTCCTGGGGGCAGTGACCACTTCCCAAGGGACTCAGGAGGCTCAGACTCCTGCCCCAGGTCTCACCAAGCCTGATGGTTTCCTCTTCAGGGGCTGTGGCCAGGTGAGCCTTGGGAATATGGTATTTTGGACTCCCCTCCTCAGGGGCTGTGGCCAGGTGAGCCTCGGGAATATGGTATTTTGGGCTCCCCTCAGGGTCGGTGGCCAGGTGAGCCTTGGGACTGTAGTATTTTGAAGTAGACACAGTTCATATTAGCTGCTCCCCCTCCTCCTCTTTCCCACCCACGTTCTTTCGCTCACCTAGCTGCCGTCCAGGGCCCGCTCTCTCCCGACAGATGGCTGATGTTCTTTTTTAGTTCTAGGTCCCACTATCAAGAATGAAGGCACCTGTAAACTGCTGTACACTCAAGTGGGAATAGGATGTCCTGAAGTACTCAGGATTTTCAATAACGGTCTGTGTAAAGTAGTTTTTAGGGTAGAATGGAGGTGCGGTGGTGCCCCAGCAGTGGCAGTAGAGCCCCGTACCTCTGCCTACACCTGTCCTGAGAGGCGGCTCTTCCTCAGACTCCCAGGCAATGCCAGGTGACACATTTCCCCTTCTGTTCAAGCAGCTTTGTATATGGGTGAAATTGCCATGATGCCAGTGGGTCGGAGTATTTGGGGATTTACTACCTGCTGGAAGATAGTGGCTGAGCCACTCTTCAGCGGTGCTTGAGCTGTGATTTGGGCAGAAGGCAGGCAATTGCTTGGCAGGGATTGCTCGACAGAAGCCCTGCATCAGAAGGGCTTGCCCAGGTGATGCCAGAAGTACCAGGACCTCAGAGACAGTGATGTCCTCTCTCCCTGCAGGTATTTCCACTGTCCGGCAGATAGCTCAGAACTAGCCTACGACCCACCGGTGGTCATGAATGCCGACACTTTGAGTTACTGTCAGAAGGAGGCCTGGTGTAAGCTGGCCTTCTATCTCCTCTCCTTCTTCTACTACCTTTACTGGTGAGTAGCTGCCCCTCCTGGTGGTTTTGACTCCAGCAAAAGGAAGAGAATTTCAGGCTGGCCTCTGGGAGGCAGCCTTTGGGAGATGGCCTGCGAGGGTGGGAGTCACGGCCAGTCGGGTGTGACCCTAGCTGTCTGACTCTGGCTCAGGAGCAAGGGCTTCTGTGTAGACAAGGAAAGGGGCAGGAGATCCTGCAGGAGGCCTTGCCTGCTGATGGGCACATCCTTAGGGCCATGCAGTGAAAACACCCTCTCAACATCCCTTTGGAGGTAACTGGTGAAGTGCGATTGGTTACTCCTTCTTCCCTATAGGGCTTCCTGCCTCTCACAACTCTGCAGCTCAGCCCACCAGGTTCCCTATGGCCCCGGGGCCCAGGCTCATCCTCACTGTCCCTTGCCCCGTGGCCTGTTTGCAAGGATTCTTGGGAACCATAACAGAGGCTCCAAACTCCCCCCCCCAGTCCCACAGTGGCTGTCATGGTTCATAAAGTGGCATTTTGGGTCACTAAATGCTTCATTTACCGTTTTTCCAATATTACATAACACCATTCCAATTAAGAAACACCTGCTGACTTTGCAATCCTGTTTCAGGAATCTCCCCTCTTTGCACCTCTCCGCTCAGAACATCCTAATTAAGCAGAGAGTTATAAACAGACTATCTTGTGGTTTGACACCCCAGAGTGCCTTTTCCGCAAATGTCTCCTCCTCCTTCCTGCTCCTCTTTGGCTCATCTCTGGGGACTCTCACCTGTCACTTGCGATTCCATCGTTACCTGTGGCAGGGCCATGGTGGTCTCCAAACCTCCCAGTGATGTCTCCAAAAGGGCATGGTTGACAGCAGCCAGGTGAAGAGGAGGAGAGGTTGGGAAGTTGGACTCCACGCCACACCTAGGTTTGGAATGGGCTGTGGCAGGGAAGAATGTGGCTGCATTTGTCCAGCATTTTTTATTTATTTTTAAATTTTTATTTAAAGATGGGGTCTCACTGTTTCGCCCAGGCTGGAGTGCAGTGGTGCCATCACTGCTCACTGCAGCCTTGAACTCCTGGGCTCAAGCGATTCTCCCACCTTAACCTTCTGAGTAGCTGGGACTACAGGTGTGTGTCACCATGCCCAGCTAATTTTTTTTTTTTTTAATTTTTTGTAGAGATGGGGTTTCACTGTGTTACCCAGGCAGGTCTTGAACTCTTCAGCCCAAGTGACCCTCCTGCCTCAGCCTCCCAAAGTTCTGACATTTAAAAATGAGCCAGGCTTTGTGCTCAGAGCTTTGTACGTATTGCTCAACTTATGAGATAAATACTATCCTCATTCACATATGAAAAATGAACTGAATCTGAGAAGTTTATGTTCCTGAATTCACAGCTAATACTGTCACAGCTGTAAGTAGTACATCTTGAGTCCGATTTCAAAGGCTGAACTCCTTTTTCGTTTTCCTTTTTTTTTTTTTTTTTTGAGGGTATCACTCTGTCTCCCAGGCTGGAATACAATGGCAGGATTATAGCTTGCTGCAGCCTCAAACTCCAGGCTCAAGGGATCCTCCTGCCTTAGCCTCCTGAGTAGCTGGAATTATAGGCATGTACCACCATGCTCGGCTAATTTTTGTATTTTTCTGTAGAGACAGGATTTTGCCATGTTGCCCAGGCTGGTCTTGAACTCCTGGGCTCATGTGTTCCACCCGCCTCGGCCTCCCAAAGTGCTGGGATTACAGGCGTAACCCACTATGCCCAGTAGCTCTTATCTGCTGGCTATCTTAGAAAACCTCTAGAAAAGTCTTTATCAAAGTGAGGGGTAAGGAAGGGAGGAAGGTGTGCTTTTTAAAAATACAGATTCCTGGGCTTATAGCTACCTATTCAGACTTTCCAGGGCTGGGCTCTGCATTTTAAACAAACTCTCTGGACAATCCTGATGCACACCTTGGTGGCTCTGGAGCATTCTACTTGGTTCTGCCTTCCCTTTACATCCCCTGTGTCTGCAGACTCTGTGGGGTGCTCTGGAATGTTTACTACTCCAGCTTGCGGGGAGCCTGACAGTCTTAAGCCTCCGGAGATTTCCACGGTGCCCAGTGGGTTCACCTAAGTCTTTCTGACTCCAAGTCTGAACTACCTAACAACCAAAGGCTTGTCAGATGGGTTCCTGTCTTGGGAAACATACAGAGCGTGGACAAAGCCGTTGTGGGCTTAGGGACTGGATACCTCAGAGGTTAGGTTTCTTCCCTGCAGTGTGCTCAACCCTGCTTTCTTTGTGGAGTCACAGACTTCCCCTTCTGCAGAGTCATGGGCTGAGTGGCCTGTCCCTAGAGACAGCGCTGTCTCTCCTGTAAGCCAACAGAATGAGACCAGTGTTTTAATTAGCTCCTGCCCCTTTAGCCTGGGATCCACCTCAGTGTGGATGAAGACGGAGGCAAGATATTTCCCTCATTTCAGTTTTGTTGCAGCAGATGCTGGAGCCGAGGCGTCGCCAGGAAGAAGGCATATGAATTCACAGGGAGGGAAGCTGCTGTGCGTGCTCCGCTGTGGGGGGTGGGAGGGGTGGGGTGGGGAGGGCTTGGCAGCTCCTCTCGGTTGGATGGGTGTGATCGTTCTATAACTGAGTGTGTTCCAGACAGTCTGTTTGACTGTTTGTCCTCTAGTTCATTACTTCAATTTGGCCCTGCCTTCATGATACATGTGTTAATCACTTTGTTTCTAAAACAAAATTGGAAACAGTTCCTGCAGCCTCACTGGGACCCTGGGTGGCCCCCACGGTCTCCTGCATTCTTTGTTGAATCTGGCCCCTTCGTGCTCTTTGGGGCTCCAGAAAAGACTTGTTTCTCCCACCTTAGGAGCTGCCAGCCCCTCAGATCCAGAGCTGGTGGAGAGCACAGGAGCGCCAGCACAAGCCACCGTGGGAGGGAGAGAAGGGGACCTATGTGTGTGCAGAGCCATGTCTGAACTGAGCTCAGGGCTAGAGACCCACACAACAGCGGGGAAGACGGGGTGGGTGGTTTATGGTTTCAGCTTCCTGAGGAGCTCCTGAGGACCTTGGAGAGGTTAAGAAATGCGTCTCAGGTCCCCGCTAATAATTAGCGACATCTGGCTTCAGAGCCTGTGCTCTTTCTTCTATCCTGTTTGAATCACATGGCACCCATCACCCCACTTCACAGTTTGCCTTGTGGACCAGGTGATAATTTGAGGATTGTGTTAGAAGGGGACTAGCTAACACAGATACTAATACTAGCTGGTGAGCCCAGTATGAACAGTATCCTAAAGTATTGGGCAATACTTTAGGTCACCTGAAGTAGTAGGACTACCCTCCTGCACGGTTATTCTGGATCATGCCTGTCCCTCCTCAGGTTTATTTCTTTTCATCTGTGTTATTTATGGTTTACTTGTTCCTTGACACCAGAGACCATGTTGGTTTTAAATGAAAGAATGAATGAAAGTGAGTAAATAAAGATATCCACATGAGCCTTAGTACTGTCATGCAAAAAGCATTGGCTTTGGAGTTAGGATGTGGCTTCTCCCCCTGCTGTCACTCCTCATCTGGCCCTCAGCTTCCCCAGGTGGAGTAAGTCCCTCTTGCTTCAGATCTGACCAGTGGTTCTCTGTGCACATGAGATGTGTGAGGTTCCTGAAGATGGAACTTCAGCTACTCAGAAGAGCTCATTGGGCCTCCACAGCTACATAGGGTTAAAGTAAAACCTTTTCACTTCTTTTCATTTCTTTTACTTCTTAGACGAATCTTTCTTCTCACTATAATGTGAAAAGGTAGTTGGTTTCTTTTTCTGCCAAATAAAGAGGTATATTTTGATGCAGATCATTCCTCAGCCTTGCAAACTTAACCTGAAGTCCTTACTAAGAGCACAGGGATCCATGTCCCCTTCACCCCCACTCTTAGTAGTATTGGGGCAATACTTTAGTTCACACGCTTTTAATGCATGTTTAATTCCTGGAGTCCATTAAAAATAGGAGGGCCAGGGAGTTACCCAATCAAGAGTTGACTGGGTTCTGGTGCCCAGAGGGCTTATGTTCCCATGCAGGCCTTTGCAATAACGATGATGATCTTTTTTCCCAGCAGTAGCGTATTATCCAGCATCATCTGGGAGCCCCTGGACACAGCCATCATGCAAGCACATGGCAGCTGCTGGCATAAAGAATCCACTGCACCCCCAGACCTGCCCTGCAATTGCATGAAAAGGAAAACAACCATAATAATCATCCTGATGAGAATAATAATAGGCACTTAGAGCAATCACATCTTTTATCCAAGGGATACAATATACTCTCCCCAAAAATGTTTATTCCAGCGTTGTGGGAAGTAGAAGGGGCACAGTAGTGGAGTTGGCGAGATGCTATAGTGACAGGAATGAGGGAGAAGCCAAGGAGTCTGGCCTCTGGAAGGTCCCTCTCCTGAGGGGCAGCCTGAGTCCTCTGTGGGCTTCCACTAACGCCTTCTTTTCCTTTTCTTTTTGCATTCAGCATGATCTACACTTTAGTGAGCTCTTAACGCAAAGACTGTGCACGTCATCAGAGACTGAGATGGGAGAGACCTCAGACGGAGAGGTGCATTTCTGCTGGTGACTGGAGGAGGGACCAGAATGGGGATATGTGAGAAATAGACCCAGCAGGCAGTCTGACTGAACGGGAGCTGGGATCACGCAGCCAGCTGGGAGCCAAGTTAACCCTGCGTGTCTGTTGTCGCCCTGTGTGTCAATCTTTGGCATTCGAATTCCACATACAGGGTCCTAGAGCCCTTCTGAGCATCAGTGGTGTGGGGGAGTAGGTGACAAAACACTAGACCTCTCCTGAGAGAGAATGGCTGCTTCCTGAATCCACTTCATTGAACAGCACCTTGCAAGTTCACACTGAGTTCCTGGGCCATGGGAGCGGAGGCTGGAAGGCTGCAAGGTGCTTGCTAAGGATCAGAATGACCCAGAGTCAAGGCCAAGTCTGCAGGGACCTGTTGAAAGCCTCGAGAATGCCTTGGCTGCCCAGGACTCTTGTTGCCTTTCTTCCAAGCCGTGGCCACACCCTTTTTCTCAAATGGGAGGGGCTGGAGGGTGCGTGGGATTTGCCTTCAGCTGTAACCAGCCTTGAGCTCGCCGGGCTGTTTTCAGCTGAGGAGGGGTGAATATAGGAAAAATGGATTTTTGAAACGTTTGCAACATGTTCGAGGTGTTAGTTCTCCACCACACAAGTTGTATTCTTCTTTTGCCACCTCAAACCATCAGAATCATGTAATGCAAATCAATTGGTCAATGCTAGTCAAAGCTATGTTCTTACAAAAACCCCAGACAGCTCAGAGCTCAGAAAATCCTGTGGAGTGGCTGCTCTGTACCATGGGCATCCAGCAGCCAGGAATTGAGAAGACAACATAATTATAACTTCGTTTTATGATGCTGCATCATTTGTACTGTTTAGGTCGACATGAGGACATCATCTTATTTAGAATTTTCCATTTGGCAATCTCTTTTGGGTGGGAGTTGTGCTGGGGGTTGTAAATAATGACAAGGCTGAGATTTTTATGATGTTTAAATTGGGCACAATGATTTTGACCTTATTCCCCAAACTTCTTTTCTACTGTTTAACATACACAGGCTATTTATACACATCCCCAGCTCCCATCTGAAACCTGTGACTCAGGTTTATGAATGGTGTTTGTGTAGCAACACATTGTGTGCTATGTTTATTAAAATGCAGCGACAACTTGAGTGTCTCACTTAACTGGCTGTCTCATTTCAACCATTACAGGCTGGATTTGTCTACATATGGTTGGAAAACTGATAGGAGGAAAAGGCAAATTTTCAAAAAGGCATCGTGCTGCTAAAAATTCTATGGAAAACAAAATGCAGACTTTTACTCCGAGGTTTATGGTGTAAAACTGGAGAATTTGAGGTGATGATTTGGGGAGAATTCTTCCTCTTGGCCATTACCTGCAGATTACCAACCAGGTAACTGTTGTTAGGGATAGAGTTACCTTTGGGGCTGCTTGGGCGTGGCTTTGGCTTCATTCCTGAGACGACTAGTGACCCTCATCCAGAGAGGCAAGCGTTGGATGGCAGACTACAGATGCTAATCTAACCGCACAGAGCAACTGGATGTGGAAGGTGAATGATCCATGTTACTTCTCACCATGGAGCTGTTTTGTTCCTATACTCTGCCTCCTTTCAAAAAGATTTGAAGTGGCTCATAATAGGAGACACAAGTACACAAAGACCATTAAAATGAAAGTAGAGATGTCTTTTTTTTTTTTTTTTTTTGAGACAGGGTCTCACTCTGTCGCCCAGGCTGGAGTGTAAGTGGTACAGTCACGGCTCACTGCAGCCTTGACCTTCCCGGGCTCAGGTGATGCTCCCACCTCAGCCTCCCGAGTAGACCACAGGTACACACCACCACGCCTGGCTAATTTTTGTATTTTTTGTACAGATGGGGTTTTGCCATGTTGCCCAGGCTGGTCTCAAACTCTTGGGCTCAAGCAATCTGCTCACCTTCACCTCCCAAAGTGCTGGGATTATAGGCTGAGTCACTGCCACTGGCCTGACAGCTCTTATGTTTACGAAAAAGAAACATCCAGATATTTCCCTCCCACAAGTTGTGATTGGGAAATAATTCTCATGATCTGTTGTGAGTTTCAGTGAATTTCCAGTTCTTGGGAAAAGTTAATCATGATGATAAAGCCAAGAGTAAAGGGCACCGTGTGATGGGGTGCAGGCTGTGCGCCAGGCACTGTGTTAAGTGCTCACACGGTGACCTCCCCCACCCCTCAGAGTGATCGTGTGACCTCACCCACCCCTCACAGTGATCGTGCCCAGCAGGTTAAATGTTCTCATCCTCACTTCATCCATGAGGGAACTAGGGAGCCTCAGGGAAGGTGAGTCCTCCCTAGGTGATGTAGTGCAGAACAAGGGCTTGATGCTATGAAGAAGTGGCCAAATAACAATAGTTATAAACCAAGGCATCTGGCAGTGATCTGGATGCTTCATATGCTTTCCCCTGATCCTTATAACAATACCACAAGGCAGATATCTCTGTTTTATAGATGAGGAAACTGAGGAGAGGAGTCACTTGCAGAGATCTACAGCTAGCAACGGGTATGTCTAGCTGTAGCTGGGATTTAAACCCAAGTCTGCCTCTTCTCACATAATTTTGTTCTTGTTGCCCAGTCTCTTATTGTGTATCCCACAGAAGTGACCAAAGGGAAGAAGAGAAGAAAAGCAGGAAAAACTCCTTTGTTTTCCAATGTGCAAAGTGAATATTTTCCTTGAGAGACAAAGAGCTCACCTTTCCAAGCATGCGTCAAGGAGAGAGCTTCCTAGGGAGCAGAGTCATCTCCTGCAGGTGGTGTTGGTGAACTGGTTCTCATTGCCTTAGAGAGGTAGAGCTGTAGGCCTGGTGTGGCTATGCCTAAATGGTCAGAGGGGAACTTGGAAGAGTCAAAGCTCACTTTTCACTTTGCTAAGGTGGAAGAATAATGGCACCTGCCACACTGGCTTTCTATAAAGATTAGATGAGTTCATACCTGCAGATAACTTAGAACAGTACCCTGCATGTGGTCAGCACACCTCACTGTAGAGGGCGAGTCTTCCCTGCCTTCTGGGCCAGTCCATTGTTGTGTTGCTATAAAGGAATACCCAAGCCTGGGTAATTTTTGAAGGAAAGAAATTTACTTGGCTCACAGTTCTGCAGGCTGTACGAGCATGGCTCCTGCCTCTGGTGAGGGCCTCAGGAAGCTTCTAATCATGGTGGAGGACAAAGGGAGAGCAGGCATGTCAAATGGTGAAGAGCAAGAGAGAGAAGGGAGAGGTTTCAGACGCTTAAACAACCAGATCTCATGTGAACTGAGCGAGAATGCACTCATCCCCAAGGGGATGGCATTAAGCCATTCATGAGGGATCTGCCCCCATGATCCAGTCACCTCCTACCAGCACCCATCTCCAGCACTGGTAGTCACATTTCAATATGAGGTTTGGAGAGGACAAACATCCAAACTGTATCACCATCCTTACTCTGCCCTGTGCCCATTCCAGGGCAAGGTCCCTCCCTTTGGGAGGACCAAGAAGCCAACTGGCCACGTGGAACAGGAGTGAAGATTGCTGGATGCTGCCACCCTCCTGAGGCCCGATCCTGTCTATAGTATCCTAAATGGAGGTCGGGCTGGGACCTGACCCAGTGCCATGTTCTCTGTCAATAATGATAACCACTGCCATAGAGTACTTGCTATGTGCTGGATGCTCTGCAAAGCACTTACCATATGTAGTCTCATTTAATCCCCTATCAATATTAGGGAATGGGAATGATTGTTGTCTTCAAGGGATAGTTGAAAATACTAAAGCTTATAGAGGTCTAGCAATTGAGCCAAAGTCACAATGGCTAATAAGTCATGGAGCCTAGACTTCCACCCAGGTCCTTTTGATTCCAAGGCTTTGACCATTTTCTCACTCCTGAAAGGGTGATAGAGTCCAGGAAGGACAATGGGGTGTGAGACAGAAGAGAAAAGGGGATGAAGATGGGACAGCAGTGTGGCTCTGCCGAGCTCACATGTTTCACAGCAAGCAACTCTATGTGAATAACTTTATAATTGGAAGGACTTTGGCTACAGGATCTTGTGCAAACTTCTTAACCTTTAGAGACTCAACTTTTTTATTTGTAAAATGAGGCAATAATACCTCCTTTCAGTATTCTTGTGATAATTTAAGTAAACTATGTACAGAATGCTTGTTGAGCCTGTCTCACAATTCGTGCTCAACAAATCTTGATCCTCAGTGCTCCACCCGACTGCCCTTCCCTTCAAAGACGGGAAGGGAGGATTATGTAGATAAAAACGGGTAAAATACTTCTCCTAGTAACACCTGAAGACAATCAATGAATCTCAGCTCCCTCCTTTCCTCTCTCCATCTTTGGGCGGACTGTCCCAGGCATGCAACATGGGTAGCAGAGCTCAGCCCTCTCAAGAAAATTTCCCCTTTGCATCCTATTTTTAGGTTTGGTAATTGCACCAATGTTGAATAAAGTTGTCATCATTATGACAGTTTTGTTATCCTACATAAGAGATGAATGCAGCCAGCAAAATGCTTTGACAACAATTAATTGCACTCACGCTGTGTCATTACACAGATCCATTTCCATAACCCTTTCTCTTCCTGGACTTGGGCTGTTCTGTTTTCAAGTGTGCTCTGGCAAATGACTGTTTAGGCAGAGCCTTCTCCAGGCCTTGGAGCTGCTGGTCCAAGCTGGACATCTTGGGGCTGCCTCTGTTCCTGAGGCTCAGGCAGAAGGCACTACTCACTGTGGGCGTTTGAGGGGGCATCCTGGGACATATCCTGTGACTTGGCTCATCCCAGGCAGAGAAGAGGGGCTGACTGAGGGAGTAAGTCTTCAGGACACAAGCACACATTCTAGGGAAAGGTGGGGGCAAGTTTCAGCTTTGTTTTTTTTGTTTTTTTTTTTTTTAATAGACCAAGTCTCACTTTGTTGCCCAGCCTGGAGTGCAAGGGCACGATCTCAACTCACTGCAACCTTCGCCTCCTGGGTTCAAGTGATTCTCCTGCCTCAGCCTCCTGAGTAGCTGGGATTACAGGTACCCGCCACCATCCCCAGCTAATTTTTGTATTTTTAGTAGAGATGGGGTTTCACCGTGTTTGCCAGGCTGGTCTCAAACTCCTGACCTCAGGTGATCCACCCACCTCAGCCTCCAAAAGTGCTGGGATTACAGGCATGAGCCACCATGCCTGGCCAAGTTTTAGTCTGTCCAGTTTAGCAGGGAGCAGGCTTTCTTTGTGGGGAGCAGCACGTGATGGAAGCATTTAACACAGCTGCATTTGCAGAGGGAGACCTCAGTGCCCACACGTTGGATTGGGTTTCAGTTGCTGCCCATGATCCAGAAACAGAAATAGACACAGGGTCAAAACAGCCGCAACAAAATAGGATTTTCCAGGCTTTGCTCCCACCCACCCACTCTGTGGTCATTTCTGCCCCTGTTAAATTCTGCCCAGATAGTTTTGGATACGCCAAGGGTGTTATGAACTTGACCTCTTAGCTACCACATGATACCCACATTTCTTCCCAGCCAGTGGTGTGCTAAAGCTGACTTGCACAGGCTTATGAGAGCCTGTACAAGTTTAGTTTAGTTTTTTAGGGATTTTACTAAATAGTTGTTAAACAGAGCCATTATTAAAACTGAAGTTATATAAACTTAAAATTAAATAAATAATTTTAAAAACAAAGGTAATACCTAGTCAAACCACTTCCCAATTATTTTACTACATTTTACTTGAGGTTATGTCTATTGTATCTGTGGCAGAAATGCTATGTGACGGTATGCTGCTGTGAATCTCTTCCCATCTTTGCATTCAGTGATGTCCCATTGATTGCTCGAAATTGGCCATGGTGAGAGTATTTACACTCTGTGGATGTCCCCCTCCCTCGCCATTCTCAGGGCAATTCCTCTAATGCACGGCCTCCTCTAGGTGGGGCAATCTCCTCACTGGACCCCAGAGTACCTCAAGGGGCAGACATATACCTTTTGGCTTAAAGAAGCAACAGTCTGAAAAGGTGGTGTTATGTCCTGGAGTTTGACTGCCTGACAGCCAGCAGAGAGACTTAAATGCCACCACAGTGTTTCCGTTCAAACATCAAACAGGAGTCTCAGCAGTAAGTAAACCTTGTCCTTTTCAAAAATGCTTGACACATCAGAAAAACAAGATCACCTTTCTGGTGGTTTTATA